AATAGCAGCAAACATAGCGTGTAGGAACAAGGGACAATAAACCAAAAGACAAAATAAGAGGGCCGCAGTAGGAGTGAAAGGGAGAAATGTTAGACTGAGGAATGAAAAGAGTCAAAAGACCGAGGAACGAGAAAATATGGGCTCGACAGGAGTACGAAGGACAAGCAAAGAAAGAAAATCACCGTACTTTAATATGTACGCTCCATGATAAGTCTATTTGATAATATAAATATCGATATTTTTATAAATTTAATAAAGATTTAAGATAGTTTAACTAGAACAAAACTAAAAGGCAAGTTTTTTTTTTTTTTGAAACGGAGTGGTAGTTGCTTGGGTCCGCAAAGAGCTGAATGATAACAGCTTAATATTTTTTGCTACGTTACTGTCCACCAAGGCATAGAAAGAATCTTTTATTGTTCATGAAATATTAAAGTTTATTTTGCAATCTAGACTATGATTATTTATATTGCTTATTTAAAATTTTTATTTATCCTCGTATTATTTATATTCATAAGTGTTAAAGTTACATTATACTAGGAATCATATTTTATCATTATATTAGTTTCTCAGGCCCAAGGCACCAACCACATCTTTATACTTGCCCCAAAAAACATTAATTTTTTAGGCAATTCTCAAGCATCGGTTTTTGTCAGACAAGGTCCAGACCTCTAACCAAACAGGCCAAAGACGTAGCATAGAGCCTGCCGGCTAGCAACATGATTGAATCCTCCTTAAAAGAAAATATTCTTTTAAGATGACTTAAGGCCTATTTGGAACGTAAAAATTTTGTGGAAATTTCAATGGAATCAAGCAATTTTACATGGAAAAAACATAAGAATAAAAAGAATTTCAGCATTCTAAGGAGACCCTGGGACCCTTGATTATGAGTCTAATCCCTGCTGACGCTGTTCTCCATTGGATTCCGTCTCTTCCTATTTTCTCCTTCCGTTTGGCCAGGGGCGGGGTAGCCGGAGGAGCAGCACGAGACGCCTGCTTCCCGGCCGGAGGAGCAGGGCAGGAGCAGAGCTGTGGGCAGAGGAGGGGAAAGGCAAGCCCGCAAGTATATGCGGCCACAAGGGTATCCTAGCCATCAATGGATAGGTTGATCCCACTCCCTTTTAGATTTTTTGTTAATCGCTTCCTCTCCCAGCCGCTGAGCAACTGCACCTCATCCTCCACCGGCGTCGTGCCCTCCTCCGGCTTTGGCACCTGTCGCCACCCCTCGCCTCCGCCCTCGGACTACGCCACCCCTATCGCTGGCCCAGCCTCCGCCACCACCACGCCAGCTTCGGCTACGGCTCCGGCCCCAGCAAGCAAGCTCGTCTGCCACTGCCCGCCCCAGCCGCGAATCTTGACACCCTCCTACGGCCGGGACCTATGTGAAAAATCCACTCTCGCAGAGGGACAGCGTAGTGTGACCAAGGCTAGGGCTGGTGGGCGACCGTGCGTTTCCGTAAGCATAGTTACTGATACTTGAAACAGGTTATCAAAAGGACAAGCAAACTAATCAGCGAACTTGTATCGTTCGTTCCACTCCTGGCAGCCGATAAATGGAAATTTCAGCAAAACAATACATATATATGATTTCATCTATCCCGTCAAGTTCCCACAAAATTTCAATACACAATACCATGTGGTCACTACCTTGGAAATTTTGGGAAATGAAGCTTAACAACCATTGGGAGTTCCGAGAGTTCCACTTTGGACCTACCCAATAATATAGTCTTCAACTTCTCATCGCATATCACAATATTCTTATTCGTCGGGTCCTGCAAATCAGGATAGTTGTTACCATCTCAAAAGTAAATAATGATGAAGCCACATAATAGAAATTTTTGTTTCTGTAGCAAAACCAAACACTGTTCTTCATTTTCGCAGAAATAGCTAGGAGTGGCAACCGATTGATAGCAGGTCATGTTACAGTAGAAGCAGCTTCTTATTCTTTCAGTTTCCTTAATCTAATCTGTTTGATTGTGACCCAAGCGGATCACAATAACTGACAATTGATTGTTAGACTGGTTTTCACGGAAGTGAATCCTAGGGGGGGAGGGGGGGTTCCACTTTCTTCATAGATTCATGCTGAGAGAAGGCATTTCAGAGTTAATATTTATAAATTATCTGCACGGCCATGTGGTCAGGACAGAAGGAAAGAGTTGCTTGTCAGTTTTTCCTCTGCACGGCCATGTGGTCAGGACCGTTCGGCTTACCCAGAAACGGCTTGTTTTTTCAGCCGAAACAGTGTTTTTCTCTCACAACAATTTAGCCAGAACAGTATTTTTCAGCCAGTTTCAGCTAAGTTTCAGCAAGCCGAATAGGGCCCCCAACTACAACAGTAGACACCAAACGAAGCAGTGGAAAACACAAACAGTTTGGTCAAGGCAGTGCACTAGTATTCTGACATACACTAGATCACTAACATGTAATATTTGGTCCATATGGGGAAAAATAATTCCTAATAAGAATGGCGAAAATGAAAAAACAAAATGTCGAGTGGTAAAATGAAAATAGGCTTCAAGCTTTGTGCCAAAATAAAGCTCCCATTCTCATACTCCCTCTGTCCCTGAATAAATAGATTCATGGAGTTATCTTAAGTCAAACCTTTTCAACTTTGACCGAATTTCTAAAATAAAACATTAAGATTTATGGTATTCAATTAGTATCATTAGACATAGAATATATTTTCATAAGATGCTCATTTTATGTCATAGATGTTACTCTTTTCTATAAAGTTAGTCAAACTTAAAAAAGTTTCACTGGCACGGATTCTAGAAATTGATTTATTTGGGGACGGAGGGAGTAACTATTGACACAAAACCATATGGACAATCTATACCTAATAAAAATATTAAAAGAAAGACTTTCCCCTAGTCCTACTGTAGCTCCTAGATGAGGCAAGACGAGCGGAGGACGGACCAAACCAACGATTATCTCTGCAGTCTTTTTCATGAGCCTGGACTAATTTTTCAGTTGGCTTGGGCTTTACATTACATGGTAAAGGGAACAGCCCACCGTTTAGCTCCCACATGTGCGCTACGCACCTCCCACACTCGACCAAACATGCCCACACCTTTCTGCATCGCTGAGAACCGGACCTAACATTTTGCTCGTGCAGACACGTGTCGCGCTCACCTCCATCTTCGCCTTCCACTCGAAATGTCTAAAGCAGCAGCGTGTTATGTGGGGGCGACAGTACCAGCGCCACTCCAGGGCTCGAGATGCCGCCAGGGGCGGACCCACCAGGAGGCGCATGCACAACAGGCGGCTGTAATCAATGGCAATTAGCAGCCGGTTAGGGAAGTGATTAATGGCTGGGTTAGAATCGAGGGGCTGGGAATTTAAGAGACTCCTATTTATACTTTGTAATCGGCTGAGGAAAGATCAAGCAAGAACAAACCTATTCCTAATCTCTCTGTTCTCTCTTAATCTCATCCCCTTCACAATTGGGCGCAGAGGGGATAAACCCCGCGCCATTACCAACCCGAGCTATGAACTCCATAGTCGGGGTCCTGCTACCCTGGGTGCTGGTACTGTCGCCCCCACATAACACAGCGCAACCATCGCCAGCATCACCTCACCCCGCGGCTGTCCTCCGCCTCGAAGCGCATCATCACCCTAAACCCATACGTTGGCATGTCTCTGCACCACTAGTCAGAAACACGAATGAGCAACCTCCTGCAGAATCACGAACCCCTGTCCTTTTTTCTTGCTTGTTCAATACGATGTGTTGGTGAATCTATCGCTTGTTTGTGTAGATCATATGCAAATCCAACCCTAGCCCCAAATCTAGGCCACTTGCTCACCTTCTCGCTGTCAGTGGTGGAACTGTTGCTATGGCGTCAACTATCATTTACTTGCACACAGCTTTACATGCAGGGGAAGAAGCCATCGGCATCATCGTCCACTCCTGGTTATCATCAGCTTGGATGAGTTTGAATTGTTGCTTTGTTAACTACTCCTTAGGAGATTTGATTTGTAGTTTGTTGGCTATTAGCCAATCGGAAAGTGGGTCGCCTCCATCTTCCTAGGGCAACCAATGAAGCAAGCCAATGAGATGAGCCAATAGAAAGAGGACCAAAAAGACTGGTTGGCCAAAGTTCCAAAGGCACTCCCCAACATGCGCGGAAGGAAGGAACCGATAGAAGGGTGGACCTTTCAAAAGAGGTGTCGAAAGGAGATATCCAGAGGCCAACATAGAGTCAGCTTTTGGATGAAAGGGTGGAGACCCTTATGATGAAGTTAGGCCTCAGAAGATTGCCCTCCTCAAGGGAAGGCAGTCTCTGGTCTTCGCACTCCACCCTCTAAAAAGTGCGAAGGATGAACAGGATGCCATGTCGACTGAGGGACCCCACCCTTGGCCTCAGGGCACACTACAGTGGTAGAGGATGATCTGGGCTTGGAGCAAGAAAAGACAATAGCATACCCTTCGACAGTAGGAAGGGGATGTGTGAGTTAATAGTAGACAAGGGAGAGGGAGAGGTCAAATAAACTATAAACAACCCCTACCCATAGGTTTGTAAATCAAGTCATTAAGAAATAACACAAGCACATTAGCATTGTCACGGCCGACTATACACGAGGAGTATGGCAGAACAATTGATGTTAAGCATGGAATTATCTAGCTACATAAACCACTGCTCAGAGCCTCTTATGAGGGATCTCTATGAATCAATACATGTTACAGTATGCTTGAAGGTTTCCACTAAGGGGTATTAGATTAGAAACATGGAAGTGATATACCGAATGTAAGAATCATATGTCAAAGTGCCACAAATGCCCATAGTTGGCATATTTCTGGGTTTAACCAGGTATAGACGGGGTTCGACATGGAAACATAACTACTTTATCAGCTCCAAATTAAATTAAAGCGCTGAACATAACCGTGCACCTAAATTGTCAGTTCACGTGGACGATCTGGAAACAGGTGGAATACCAAGCAGCATGAAGGGAGTGAAATTTCAAATGCTAAGCTATCAAGAACCCAAACGTCAAAGGTTCTCATCCTAACCAAGTAGAAGCTATAAATACACAGAAGAGCATTATTAAGCATTTTTATGCATATAGTGGCAAAGTGGACAAAAGTCCTGAATTATCAAAACGTCATTTGGCACCGCACAGATCAATTCCCACACCTGTAAACACCACCTAGATTTTGGAAATGACATATTCTCTTCATATAATACTACTACCACTAATAATAATAATATTCTGAACTCTCATCTCACGAACTGTTGGCAGCATCAGCTGCCATTCTGCCGTTTTCCCATTAGCCCAAAACTTCATGTTTTCCCCCAATCAATGTTCTATCCAAGGTCAGTGCAAATTAACTCTGACGAGCGAGCAGTCAAATCCTGTCGCAATAAATAATGATCCCAGCTAACACGGAGCACCAACCTTAGCGACTAATTACAGATTTCTTCGGAAAGAAACGAAGGGGCCCAGTCTATTGCTATACGCATAGATTGGAAGAAGTAGTACCTGAAGTTTGTTGTCCTTGATGTACGACCAGACCCGGAGGAAGAAGGAGATATGGGACATTTGGGACCGGCCCCCGGCAAACTCTCGCAACTGGGTGGACAGGTTCACCAGATCCATCAGCCCCGCAACCTTCTTGGGGCATTCGGCCGCTGCCCGCCTCAGCACCATCTCCCACCCACCCACTGTGAAGAAATGACTCCGGATTCGAAGGAGAGTGAGCTAACCGAGGCAATCACAGAATATAACAAATCGGAGCAAATCAACGCAAATACCAAGCACAAATTCTGTCGAATACATCAAACCGAAACAGGGTTTCATGCACCTGATCAGCACTTGCTGCACTCAGTGGAGGAGGGAATGAAGGGGTGAGGGTGGCGCCGGTGGGGAGGTCTGGAGGAGGGGGCGACGCCGGTGTGGAGTAGAGCCGGTGCTGGGGGAGGCAGAAGGAGCGCCGCCTCGCTCGGGTGGGACGAGAAGCGCAAGAGGGGCGCAATGGGTCTGGGGTACAGTCAGCTAAAGAGATTACTCTTCCTTAAAGAAAAATACATTATAATTCAACTTTGAAGATCTACCATTACAATTCACCTATTCTGAAACTTGCCATTGCAATTCTTCTTCTACCCAATACTAGCCATTTTCTACGTCTTCCAGGTGTCTGAGCCCACTGTCAGGCCGTATACGTGTACACATCTTTCGTATGGAGCAAAACACCCACGGTTGCTTCTCTCCCTCCACTCACTGACGTGTAGAAGAATAATTGTAATGGCAAGTTTTAGAATAGGTGAATTGTAACTCTCTAGTCACACCGTGCATGCACGGGCCCCACGCACCGCATGCATCCCACGCCGAGCAAGTGGCCGCACACGCTCCCAAGCGCTAACCCGCGAAAAGGACGGGTGCAGTCCCCGTCTGACTGCAACTACGTACGCCTCTTTTAATTGGTTATTATCACGCCGCGTAGGTTAGGGTTCCTCCGGACGGCCGGACGTTCTCAACCAAGCGTTACCGAACAAAAGCTAATGAAATTACTCATCAAGCAAATGAAAATATAGAGATTTTCAAAGTTCGGACTCAATTCGCACGTTTTGCTGAATTTAACATTTAATTCATGTGTATTTCGAAATTTGACACCAGAGACGTTGAATCTTTCGCTTTAGACATTTTCTCCCTATGCTTCATCTTTTACATTTTTTCTATTCTTTATTTATTTTAGAGAAAGAACTTTTTTTTGTTCCTAGCCATGTGAAAAGATATTTTTGCCCTCGTCTCTCATTTATATTCTATCGACTAGCAGGCATTCGGTCTCCCTCACCGCCGATCGTGCTCCTTTCTTAGACCAAGTCTAATAAAACTTGTCTATAAATCAAATTAAGTCATCAATAGATAAGTTTAGAGCTTGTTTGGAACAAAGATATAAACAGAGGCACAAGAAAAAACAAAAAAACAAGATACAGGCACCCTAGCAAAATATAGAAAAGGAAATTATGTAGGAATATAATGAAAAAGAGTGTTTGGAACGCAAAAAAAATCAAAACGCAGGGGAGCAGCTGAGTGAAAGCACTTAGTGGAAAACAATGAATCAAACTGCACATCAATAGTTACCAGTGGCGAAGAGAAGAGAGGGAGGGGCTGGGGCCTGCCACCCCCAACACGTTGGTGCCTCCACAATAACCCCCCCCTGAAATAGCTAGTTATTCATTCAATTAGCAAGGTAGTGATGCTAATTAGCGCTTTAATTGCTTGTTCTTCTTCCATAATTGTCTAGGATTAGTCTTTCTATATATTGTCTTTTTAGTATACCGTAAAATAAACTTTTATTTGGATATTATCCATACTATTGTTGTGTATGCATTTGATCATGTATGATTGTTGTTGGTTTAAATGCCCCCTCCGCCTTAAATCCTAGCTCTGCCTCCGATAGTTACCTAGCTCTTTTTACTGATGGTAATGCACCCCATCCAATGAATTTAACGGCGTAGTCAACCTGGGGCTTCTGCGAAGGAATTTCTATAAATACGATGTCGGATGAAGATAATTTTTATATGTAAATATGGCGCGTGATGAGACTCAAATTTCAAAAAATAGAAAACCCTTCAATACGATGTCGGATGAAGATAATTTTTATATGTAAAGTGTAGACCTCGATGAGATCTACATCTTTATAGTTTTAATTTTTTTCATTTGAGGAAAGTAAGATGTTCGAAAAAATAATATAAAATTTTAGCACCATATTTTGTCGCGTGATGAGACTCAAATTTCAAAAAATAGAAAACCCTTCGATACGATGTCGGATGAAGATAATTTTTATATGTAAATTGTAGAGCTCAATGAAATCTACAACTTTGTAGTTTTGAGTTTTTTCATTTGAGGACGTTTAGATGCTCAAAAAAATAATTTAAAATTTCAGCGCCTCCCAAAAATAGAAAACCACTTTTGAAACCGGCCGAGGACCAAATTCGTCCGGTTTTGATAGTTGAAGGGTGTTTCTTGACCGGTTTCATAGTTGAAGGTTGAAAATCGAACTTTGGCGCAAGTTGAAGGTTGTAAAGTGTACTTTACCCTTAACCAAATTCACATGCTGGATGATGCCTATTGAGCTCACTTCAGACCTGAACTGCTTCTCTCCTTGTCCTTGGTGGGAACCATCTAGCCTTTTCACAGCTATAGCAACCGAGTTACTCAGGCACCCTTTAAATACAAAACCGAAACCACCTGCGCCTAACTTCTCCGAGAAATTGTTAGTTGCACGTTTCATATCAACATACCTGAATGCAATGATTCCAATGCCACCTTGATCATTGTCCACTGGATGACTAGATCGCTTACTGCTTCTCCAAATCACAATTAGGAAGATGAACGCTAAGGTGACAGTGCTTACACCCACAGCAACACTAACACTGATGATCATTCCATGTTTATGGTCTTTCCCACTTTGCACCTCTTTTGCAGCAAGACGAAGGTAGAGAATTTCCCCACTGTCATCAGCAGCTACATTGGTTAGATCGTCGTGCCAAACAGAGCAACCACCTTGGCTGTAGGAATACGCTGTGCAAGAGCAATTACTCAAACAAAATCCCTCACATGCTTTTGCACTTGTAGCATCTTGTTTACCTATGCCATTACTGGGCAGCCTACTGAATGGCATAGGATAGAATTTATCTGACATACTTGTACGCTTGTTGCTGTCGTTGCAATCCAATGGAGTATTTCTGATGCACCCACCAGTCCTGTCCTCCAGTTCCCAATCCTCAGGCGACCTTACAGAGAAGCCCTTCATGCAGGAGCACAACGGATTTGCGTTGTTAGAGCAGATTGTGAAAGCTCCACAAACAGCATAGACATTACATTGACTTCTTGGAGAGTAGCTGAATGTGACCCAATCATTTCTGTCCCAGTCCCATACGCGCACCTCCCATTGACCAGAGACATCTAACACAACCTGAAATATTGTGCTCTCATTCACCAAGGTGTAGGAGAAGTAGACTTCCTGGTCATTGGTAACAAACATGTAATTGCAGTAAGCGGGATCCGACATCTCCGGTATTGCGTTGAAGTATCTGCCATTCCACTCGCCAGAAGACCAATACTCTGTAGACGATTTCCATGACAGCCTCATGCTCTCATCAAGGCCAGGAGCTAGGCCAATGGAATAGACACCAGGAGCTTGGTCATTCAGATTCCTTCTTGAAACAAAACGGCGGTTCAGACCGGTGACCTTGTTTCTGCCCAGTTTTGCACCGGGTAGCAGGGTGTCGGTTGGGTAGTCAAAGCTCTGCCAGAATATGTCTGAGGAGTTGGAGGAGCTCCGCAGGACAAGGTTCCCGTCGGCCAGCAGAACAGCGACGGTGCTGTTGGCCTGGGTAGACCAGACCTTGGTGCCATGGGCTATGATGACCAGGTTGCCGTCGTCGGAGATCATGAGCTCCGGTGAGGCAGGACTGGAGACCGGGTTGTCCCTGTTGGCGCTCCACACCGGTGTCAGCTTGGGGACCTTGTGGAACCATATTCCAAGGTATGAGTTGGAGGTGGTGTTCGTGGAATTGTTGCTGTTGGTCTGGAAGAAGCCGAGCGCGAACTTGCCGTTGCTGGAGACAAGCCTCTCGTCTCCGGCCAGCGAGCCACCACGTGAGAGTGTATCTGTCGCCGCAGAGCATGTAGGAGGAGTGTGCAGGGAGAAAAGGAGGCCACAAAGAACGGCGAGGAGATGCATGACGAGAGAAGTGGATCAGAAGATGGGAGATCAATGGGAGAAGTTGGTTTGCTCGCAAGTTAGCGCCGTGGTGATGGTGGACGCTGGATTGCATTGCAGTTGCAGAATGCAAGAGACGATGTCGTTTTTTATAGAAATTGAGGGAGCCCACGCCATCCATCCCCGTCCACCTCCCATTTCTTCTTTACCTTGCACGGACCACGGAGGTAAACAAAAACTTAAAAGGTCCATTTCTTTAAAAAAAAACTTAAAAGGTCCACACACTTTTGACCAAATTGCAGCTACTTACACACGGTTGCTTGACTTGACGACTTCACAAGACAAGAAAAGTAATTATAAGATTACTCAATTTTATATGCCCAACCAATGTTTGCATGCTTCCGTGAAGCAAATGTAACTTAACCAATCAGGTAATACACATCCTACTGATGGTTTCACATACGAAGTAAAAACTACTTCACAAATTGTCGATTTTTTAATCCAATTTGGACCACATGTTAATGATTGTGTTTGAATTTAGATAAAAATTTAGGGGTTACTTTGCATTATTTTTATAATAATATAGAGATGGGTAATTTAAATGCAAATTTAGAGGGTTATTTTAAATTATCTTCTAATGACAGAGGTGGGTAATTTAGGTATAAATTTTGGGATTATTTAAATTATCTTTCGTAATAGCAAATGTGAGTAATTTACATACAAATTTGAGGGGGTTATTTTAATTATCTTTCATAATAGCAAAGGTGAGTAATTTACATACGAATTTAGGTGGTTATTTTAATTTATCTTTCATAATGAAAAAAGTGGGTAGTTTAGATGCAAAAGGATTACTTTATGTGTTTTCTCATAATGACAAATGAAGGTGGATAACTTTTTATAAAACAGAATAGATCAAATATCTATTATTGACGATGATGATTATAGTCTACTGACAGATGTTTATGATTATTGTGAGAGTTTTTAGGATTTATGTTTTCTCATAGCACTCCTCATCAGAATTTATTGTAAATTGTAGGGCCTCCAATGAGCAATAGTTGGATACACCAACTAGTGTTGTACAGAACACTTAGACTCCTAGAATAAACCACTTCTGATCCCGGAGACGTGCTCCACCTTCAAGATCCATGCATGATTACAAAATAATCAGCGGCAAATTATTGTATCATGTAAGAAGTTTAGAAGTGACAAGAAAAAAGATAAATCATAGAAATTCTCACAAAAAATGCCCGGCTATCTATTCGGTAGACTCTAATCGTCATTAACAATAATGTCCATAGAATCTGTTTTTTAGAAGCATTTTATAGCTCTCTATTATGAACATAGTCTAAAGTGACCCCTAAATCTAAATTACCTATGTCTGTTACTGTAAAAGAGTATCTCAAAGTACTTATAGCTCAATGGAAGAATAGTTTTCCTCTTTAATGCTCCTTGATCCTTATTAGTATGTGAGATTAGCTAGAATGCAAAATATTATGGAAGGATGGAATATATCAGTATATGGTTGGTTGATTCTCAGTTTCTCACTCTTATAATTTTTGGCGCAACATTTCTTATCAGTGCTAGTCATCAGTCATCAGTCATCAGTCATCAGTCATCAGTCAGATCTGTCCTTTAGCCCTTTGGTTCTGTATCTGACAAAATGTGTCTGTTCTTTTTCTTTTGGTTCCCTCTTGTAAATTGATAGCATGATTAAAACAATAACAGCAGTACCTTGAGGGGTCGGCAACGGCCAACTGACTTATGACTCTTTGAACATGGAATCACGCTCATAGTGGGAGCACTGATGAGGAAATTGATGGTAACAGGAAATAAATCATAGTCTGAGAGTCCAAGTAGTGACTGGGAAAATGAAATCAGTGAGGCAGCAGAGCAGTCAGAACAGAACAAAGCTACTCCACCCAATTCAAACCAGGGATCTAAAAGATTGTTCGGGGTATTCTTTTTTCGGTCAAGAACAAAGATAGCATGTCCTCGCCGGCATCAAGCAAATATTAAACTTACCCTCACATATGAATACTAATGCCTATAGGAAATTAGGTGCACATATGATTAGGACGTGTTTGACAAACATGATTACAGCAGTATTCTGAAAGCAATACCCTGGTCGTCTCCCTCACGCCCCTGCCTAACCACGGCCCCACCGTCGCCTACGTAGCTTGAGTTGACGAGTTCACAGCCGACACGCTCCTTTCCAGTCACACTCTCACACTCGCTCACACCGGCTCCTCGCCCTAAGCGACACGGCTAAGGGCTTGCTCATCGATCGCCTCTCGCGCGCTCTAGGACGCAACCAAACAAAAACTTAGGTATGGAAAAGGCAAATCTTGAAGCCTTGCATGTTGCATGGACAGATCGACCAGGATCTACTACCCCTTCACTTGTCAGGGAAGAGAGGCTGGGTAATGAATGTTGGAATTAGACCAGACCAGGATCAGAACACCCAGACTGCAACACACTATTGCTATATAACTATATTGCATACCGGGCAACAGATGTTCAGATGAAAAATAAAAAACAAAGATTGGCAGGATAGTACTCGAATGGACTGGGGAAACCGCAGTTTTTATTTGCAATTCCAATACATACGTTGAGCAAATTATTTTTATGGACCAAAAGAAAAGTTTAGGCTGCATGCCCTTATTACAATTCCCACACACACACTCTAGTAACGGTGATTGGCTGACTGCTCTTTTTTTCACGAGTGTGGCGAGGCACGTTTTTCATTAAGCAGAAGTAGAGTTTTACATTACAAAAATGGACGGTAGTTGGTGATTATCGAGCCTAACACGCACTGAACTCACTCAGTTGTGATTACAAATAAACTACTTGGCGACAATATTGTGTTACCAGCACGGCGGCAGCAAGCAGGCTAAAGATCATCGTGCTCCAACCGTGCGAAGCCCAACTCCATGAGCACCGGATCCGCACCATCACGGAATAACGCCTGAAGGGCCTCATGCTTGGAGGCCGACAATGGGGCAGCAAAGATAGCCTGGTATCTGTAGAAAGCCTCAAGGTCCAGGCTCGGTGCAGCGTTCGCAACCCCCCAGCTTTCGCATCAGCGCACTTTGTGTCTGGACAGTAGGGTTGGAGGCCCTAGGTTTGGCAGCCAGCCTTCCACTCCAACGCAGCAACAACGCTATCAAAGGTGTCTTGGACTTTCTCAGCTTCGGTTTTGTGCGGATTAGCGGGGTCTGAAGCAGGATGCAAAGCCGAGCCTCCAATTCTTCAGCCAGGGACACGGCCAATGGAGGTTGCCTGCTGTTGCCATCATTGTCAGATGAGGAACTGCTGCTAGGCCTTAACAGCTCAAGCCCCGTGACCTCACATTCCGACACAGGTGCCTATGACCCTTCCCAGCTGGGTTGGGAAACGAGACATGGGCCTTCCTCTGAGAACACCCCGCCCTGGGCCGGATGACACCTCCCATGAAGCCAGGGCTCACATCAATAAGAGGGCCCAGAAACCCACGAACCCGGTTTCCCTGAGGGAGTGCCGCGGACCCAGTTTGGCGACGCAACAAGTACGCAGAAACCAACGACCTCCCAACTAGAGTAGCAACCAGCCCCGCCTCTGTCTGCATCGGGTGGTCAAAAGCCTCCACCTTGAATTCATGCGACGGAGGCCTCAGGCGACAGAAATCAACTTTGCCTCCCATCGAACGCGCAACATGTACCTCCCTTGTGCCAGGTGATGGGTCCAGCCGCTCAGCTCTCAACCCACAAAACCTGGGACGTGCAGCCTGTTCGTTTGGCTGGTTCGTATCGTTGCTGGTTCGTAAAGTAGTACCGCTGACTAATTTGTGTGAGAGAAAAATACTGTTTCGACTAGAAATTTACGATCGTATACGACAAGCCACAGCCAAACGAACAGGCTGATGACCTGTCCGATGCGCGCCTGAACTTCCTCGAGCCCTGCCCGACCATGGCCGGGCCCCAGAGAGCAAGTGCCCTGGGACACCATCTTCAACGGCTCCGGGACCAACAAAACAGAGGTGAACATGGGCCCCCAACCGGGGTAGTGGGAGTCACCATCCGACGAACACGGGATGACGCAAAGCTCAACCCCCGGGCAACGACACGCCGGCGTGGGCTGTGAAATAGGCTCGCACTGTGGCGAAGCGGTGCGCGGCACGACAGGAGCGACCCTCGGAGAGCAATCGTCCTAGGACAGCAACATCAAAAGACTTCGCAAGCTGAAGTCGAGGACCAGCCTGCACGCCCAAGCGACGTCACTGGCAGCCCCAACCCGAACGCCAGCAGTCACGAACGTGATGCCCCTCCTTGCTACAGTACAACCCAGGCAGCATTTGGACCGATTTCTGCAAAGCGACGCAACATGTGGTTGGTGGCGAAGCAGTTGAAGCAACACCTGACGAGATCCTTCGGGACAGGACGAGAGCGCCGAGACTCGCGAGGCAGGCGTGCTGACCGCTCCTCACGCCGATACTCTTCGTCGGCTGCTCTGAGGGACGCGACTTCCCAGCCACTGGTGGATAAGAATACGATGGGCTCTCCCTCCCTAGATTCGCCAGACCTGAGGAGCTCGACGATGCCACCCGATCCTTCTCCACCCGCTGCGACAGCCGCTCAAGACCTACTGCGGCTGCAAAGTAGCCCGGCTCGCCACCACACCTCCCGCCGCCCCGTGCCTCCGGCCCGCTCGTCACCGCCTGACGACGTCCGCCATGGCCACCGATTCCGGCAAAGGGATGGCCGATCTAGAGTTCGGGCTAGCATCGCCAAGCTCGGAGGGGGCACCGCCTGCGGCGCTTGCAGTCTGGCGCGTCGGTTCGCAACTCCGTGTTGACAGCCCCACCCCCTAGCCACCCTGCTGTATCGGTGCCCATGGCACAAATTCATGCCCAACTCTATCCAGTGAGCGCATGCGATGAAATATAAATCAAAACTTGTGGAACCTATTAGTTTAAATAGAATCCTTTCGAAAGATTTGAGTTTGGGTCCCGAAATTCTGAATGGTGCTGGTCAAATTGGTGCATA